CCTCCCCCCCTCCCCTTTTATCCTCCCCTTTGCGGCGTTGTGCAGGCCTGTGCCGTCGTCCGATACGCTGTGCGCGGTCATGTGCGGAGGTGCGGTGCGGGGGCACGGGGGCATGTGCGGCCTGCTGTGTGGAGCTGTGCGGACATGTGCGGCCGCGCGCGGCCCTGCGGCGGCCACGAACGGTGCCACGTGCGGGCATGTGGGGCGCCGTGTGCGGGCATGCGCGGGCAGCGCCAGGGCAAGCAGCTGCGGTGCGGGCACCTATTGGATCGCCAGGCGTACGTCACGCTGCCCATACGTACTGCACAAAAAGGCTCCCGCACACGCCACGCACATGCGCGTACAGTGGCAGACCACGCTCAAGGGCGGGGGCCGAAGCAAAACAATGGTGGAACGACTCAGAGCACATGCGCCTGCGCATGGCCGCACGAGTGCACCTGCCACCACATCATAACGCCCCAATATCAACACATCCGCACACGCGGGGCACATGCTGTGCACAAGCCCGTACAACAAGCACACATGTCGATCCGAAATCGCATGCCCCGGAATGGCACTGAGATCGAGAACCCTTTGTAAAGGAAGATCGAGCAAGGAGCTTTAGGAGCCGCAACAAGGATCCCGTGAGTGATGAATCCTTTGCAAGGGCGACTGTAATAAGGATTCCGCCAGGAAGGGTCCATGCAAGAAGGATGATTAAGGGATGGTTCCTTGATTCAAGGGCTATTAAGGACTCCTTTAGTAAGAAGCACTGCTAACGGTACGCCTTCAATACATCATTCTCCGGTGCGGATTTCTTAAAAAGGATGCTTGTGGCACGGGCTCCTGAATCACGGATACCTTGTTCGTAAGATTTCCTTGGTAAGGGTGCTTTTAGTAAGTGATCCGTATGAAGGGATTCTTAAATGAGGAATCCTTAGAAATGCGTCCTTTGTTCCAGATTCCTGAGTAGGTGCCTTTATGTATGGATCCGTAAAGGGAATCTTGACAAAGCACCCGTGATAAAAGGAACCCTGAGTAAGGATCCCTTCTCCGAAAAGGAGCCTTCGTAAGGATCTTTAGCAAACGGTCCTCAGCCAGTGTGCCCTCGCTGAGGAATTCATACTCACGACGCCTTCTGTTTGTGAAGGGCTCCTTAATGAGATGCATTTTGGTAAGGATGTCCTGGCAAGGACGCCTTTTAATACGCATTCCTCCGTAAAGATACGTTCAGCACGGATTTGCTAGGGTAAGGGTTCCTTTAATAATGGTGCCTCAGAAATGCTTCCTTGAATCCGGCTTCCTTGAATCCGGCTTCCTTCAATACGCAATGTCTTTTGCAATCGGTCTTTAGTTCGGCTGACGTACCAAGGGTTCCTTCATTACAAATTAATTCCCCACCATCCTGTGGCGTTGGGTCATCGTTTTGAAGAGACGTCGCCCCGCGTTCCTCTCCTCCTCCTCCTCCTCTTCCTCCTCCTCCTCCCCCTCCTCCCTCCTCCCTCCACGTCCTCCTCCTACTCCTCCTCCTCCTCCTCCTCCTCCTCCTCCTCCTCCTCCTCCGTTATCGTCACCATCATCGCCGCCAATTTCGGCACACCCCTCACACGTTTCGTGGCCCCATAGCAATCGCATGTGCCCGCCGCACCCACTTTGGCACGCCCCTCACACGCATCGTGGCCCCATAAGGGGGCTCCACCGAAAGCCCAGATGCCATCGCTCGCATGCGCCCACCGTGCCCATGTTAGCAGACCCCTCGCACGTTTCGTGGCCCCGTAGGGAGCTCCACCGAAGGCCCAGATGCCAGCGCACGCATGCGCCCTCCGCACCCATCTGGGCACACCCCTAACACGTTTCGTGCCCCCATAAGGAGCTCCACCGAAGGCACAGATGCCAACGCTCACATTCGCCCACCGCGCCCATTTGGGCACACCCCTCACACTTTTCGTGGCCCCATAGGGAGCTCCCCGAAGCCCACATGTCAGCGCCAGCATGCGCGCACCGCACCCATGTTGGCACACCCCTCACACGCCTCGTGGCCCCATAGGGAGCTCAACCGAAGGCCCAGATGCCAGCGCTCGCATGCGCCCACCGCACCCATGTTGGCACACCCATCACACGCTTCGTGGCCCCATAGGGTGCCCCACCGAAGGCTCACATGCCAGCGCTCGCACGCGCCCACTGCAGCGATCTTCGCACGCCCTTCACACGTTCCGTGGCCCCATAGGGATGCCCACCGAAAGCTCAAATGCCAGAGCTCGCGTGTGCCCTGGCCCCATCGGGAGCTCCACCGAAAGCTCAGATGCCACCGCTCACATGCGCCCACCGCACCCATTTTGGCACACCCCTCACACGTTTCGTGGCCACATAGGGAGCCCCACCGAATGCGGTGCATACAACGACAGTGCCAACAACTGCATACAACGACAGTGCCAATCAACGCTTACGCTGACGGGGTCCTAGCGGAGATTGAAGGATTTGGGCGAAAATTTCTAGCCGATTTCGGTGGGCGGCCGGGTTCCCGGGTTCCTGGTTCCCGGGTTTCCGGTTCGGGGTTCCGGGCCGATCTCGGTGGGCGACGGGGTTCCCGGGTTCCTGGTGTATCTTCTGATCGATCGGTCTCACCATCGATCTCATCACCCACCTCTCTATTGATCCCACCATCGATCTCACAATCGATCTCATTATCGATCCCACAAGCGATCTCACCATAGATCGCACGAGCGATCTCGCGATGGATCCCATTATCGGTCTCATTGAATCGACTTCACTCTCGATCTCACGATCGACATTACAATCGTCCTCACTATCGATTCCACGATCGATCACGCGGTGGATCTCACAATCGATCTCAAGATAAACAAATCATCCACTGGTTGGATTTTCTGTGGTAAAAACGCTTATTCAAGATAAGGGGTAGTTAATGCAAGGTTCCTTTAGGAAGCGCTCCTTGGTAAGGGTTCGTTCCATATGGGAGTCCCGCGTCAGGTTCCTGAAAGAAGTAGTCCGCAGAAGGACGTCGAAGGAGAAGCCACAAGGAAAAGGGAGGCGGGCCTGGGGGAAGGGTACCAGGGAAAAAAAAAGCATCCCGAGTTAGCTTGGATGTTCCCCCCACCCGACAAGTTGGGGTCTAACGTCAGATTTTAAGAACAGACCTCCCGGCCTCTTCAGCGCCCTGCATACCGCGGCCGCCAGATCCTCAGGCTCCCGACAACCCCTGGTGGTCCCGCCCCCCCGCGCCCTGCATACGGCGGCCGCCAGATCCCCATGTCCCCCGATAGTCTCCGGTGGTCCCGCCCGCCGCGCCGACTCGCCCACTCTGCATAACGCGGCCGCCAGATCCTCAGGTCCCCCACAGAACAGAGCACAACACCACACCACCGAACAGAACTTATTTTAGCACAATATACCATACCAGGACAAACCGTATCGTAACACAACACACCATGACAGACCAGTCCATACCATAGCACAGCATAATTGCACATATCGTTCCATGACAGGACGAGTCAAGCCCACCATAACAAATCAACGCATAACTGAACACACAAAACCAGAACATGTCATATCATCACATATTACGGAATAACAGTAGCATAACACAACACATCATAACCACGAATGCTATGACATATCGGAGCGCACATAACATACCATAACATCACATGTCACATCATACCATGGCAAAACAGAGCATCGCATAATAGACCATGGCAAAATAAAACCACAACATGACACAGCATCACAGCACATATTGTCCCACATCATGACAACGCATACCATGACGAAGGTTTCGGTGGGGATCGCTCGGAACAAAGGATGTTATGTCTGTGTGTTTGTTTGGGGAAGGGGAACGGGGCCAGTTAATGCTTGGGGGCCCGTTCGTTGTTCACTCCCTGAGACCTCTTCCCCCATGGGAAGACACTCTTTCCTCCGCCACACACGGCGAGGGATCAGTCCCCTTCCCTCTGCCCGCAAAGAGAAATGATGCTCGACCTCCAACAAAGAAGCTCGATTTGTAAACAACACAAATAAAATAGATGCATCATCATCTCCCGGAGAAAGTATGTTGCAAGCACAGACCCAGAAAACCGATGTACAATCCTCCCACAGACATCAGAAATAGTTCAGGAAACAAAACCTTTCATCCAGCTCACACTTTTTGTGCAAAAATTAAAAACGGGCGCCGTTTTGCCCCCCACCCCCTCACGCCCTCATGTCATATCAACACAATTGTCGTCGTCGTTCTCCCTGGTCCTCAACGCCAGGGACTTGTGCAATTTCGCCCTGGGATCCTGTGCGCGGTGCCACCTGCAATTTTGCAGCTGCCCCTCTCCGAAGGGCAACGAGCTGGAGGCACAGGAATTGGAAACTGGCCTCCCGAGACGGCGACATCTGCTAAGAGCGGTGCAGCAGATAGTTGCTTGACTGGCCCTTGCCTCTCGGGCTTGCCCCTGCTCTCTCCAGCCAAGCGCTGTCCGTGGTGCTGCTCGCCAGGCAAGGCCTCCCTCGCTTCCGTTCGGGTCGCAGCGCGAGGGCCTGCGACCGAAAAGCCGCCCTAACCCCTCCTCCGTCACGACCCTTGAACGTCGATTCTCCCCATTCCCCCTCCCCCCCTGGCCCCTCCTCTTCCACCCGAGTGGCTCCCCACCCCCGCACCAAGGAGGTCCGCGGCCGTTGAGGTTCAGCCCGCGTCATCCGCCTGGTCTGCCCCCGCCTGGCCTGCCCCTTCCCCCAATCCCCTCCTCCCCCACCTCCCCCTCCTGCCCCTCCTACCCCTCCCCCTCCGCCCCCCCCCTCCCGCTCCCCCTCCTCCCTAGACATCCAGCGTCGTGATTCTTCACAGCAAGGCTCCCCCCGAGGTCTGGGCTCCTTCCCCAGGGCTGGCCTTTCACCCCGAGCCGTCTGCTGAGGGTCCGGGGGCCCAGCGCGACCCCCCCCCCAGAGGCCGACAGCTGCCCCACCCCTCGCAACGCCGGGGCTGTCGGGGCTCCCTCCGAGGAGGCGGAGGGGCCAGGGGCCTTCGGTGAGGCCGCCCTTCTCGATCCTCTCGAGCTCGCCGCGCGTGAGCCCAGGCTTCAAGAGCTCCTGGCGGCGGCCGGCAGCGGATCTCACCCCGTCGCTTCCCGGGGGGGGGGGGGGGGGGGGGGCGGTTGCCGCCTCCGCGGCCGCTCCTCCCCCCCCCCACCTCCAGAGCTCTTCAGATGCTCGTTCTGGGGGGCCTTCCTGGAGCCACTCGCTCCACTCGTGCGTGTTTGCTGCGTCGAACGTCCGTCGACCTGAGACCTGCGCTAAACGAGGAGGAGGAGGAGGAGGAGGAGGAGGAGGAGGAGGAGGAGGAGGATGTGTTCGAGGACGAGGAGGAGCCAGAGACGAAAAAGACAACTGGAGATGTTGTACCATTTTGCGAACTCTGGGTGCCCTCACGGGGCGCCCGGGACCGTCAAGAGACGACTTGGGGTGAGAAGCTGGTCAAGGGGAAGAGATGTCAAAACATCCAGGTGTCCAACTTGTTGACAAAAATCACGACGTCGGAGCTCTGGGTCTTCCATGCTCTGAGGGCGCGGACAGGTAATCCACCGCGGGTCAAACCTCGAGCGCCCCCCCACACGAGACCAAAAGCCAAGTGCTACCTGTTCCTTACGGGGCAGGAGGGAGAACCCGGGACGGCTGCTAGTATCTCCTCCTCCTTCTGCTCCTCCTCCTCCTCCTGCCCCTCCTCCCCCCCCGCGGCGAGAAACTATCGTAGGGACACTGGCCCTCCTGAGAGCTTCCAGCCTCCCGTTGGATGAAGAGGCGTGCTCCACCATGCAGTAGCTCATCATGCATGAGGAGGAGGACGAGAAGAGGAGGAGGAGGAGAAGGAGGAGGAGACGGAGAAGGATG